CCTTCACTTATTAGTTATACTAAAATAATAGAACAGTACAAAGACAACTATGCCCTTATAGGACGGCAAAACATAAAACAGCATATATAACACTCAAGAACATAATTAAATTTGGACTCACATAACTACTGTGGTCCCCACCTCCTATCTAACAACTAACATAAAACATCTACTCAGAAAAGCATCATAAAACTAATTAATCTTCAACAGGGAGGTCCTTAATTGGCATTTCCTTGTGCAACACCTTGTTGCACAGAGGACCATACTTTTGAAATTAATACACTATACTTTACCTTCTTTCAAAAAAATAATTAAAATTATGAAACCTGTTTTTTATGTATGGATTAAGAATATAAGACCTTAGCATGGACTTGTTTGGGTTTGCCTCAAGAGGCTTGGTACAAAGGCAGCTTGTAGAATTAGGAATGCAAGATGTTTAACTCACATTAGCTATTTCAAATAATGAGATTGGGATTTGGGAAAGAAATAGAGATTGAAAGTTTGACATGCTTAAATTGTTGATTTCTTGAACATGTTTTATATGTTATGTTTATGTATTTTAATTTGAAGTAATAGGCTTTTTAAAACATTTAACTTAAAATTAAAGTGTAGATTTTTTTAATTAACACTATTTTTAATATTTTAGTTTTTTAATTTTTTGCTATTTATTGAAAAAATTTGTGCCTTGCTTCAAAAAAGCATGTGCCTTGCACAAAAATCTGTTTGCACTTTTAAAACACTGAAATCATAATAATTTATTACTTTTTTCTGATTATTTCAAGACAAGTCGATATAAAAGTACAATCTAGCTCAAACCCTCTCGTCAAAGCAATAAGGAAAATAAAACACAGAAAATAGAGATGTTAGTGTCTTGCAATCTCATCCCATTGCCTTCTAGTATCAATTCCTTGCACATCTTTAAGTCCAAGATGAATGAGAATATTCCATGGAAAATTCTGTAGGTTGGCCCTGACTTCTCTTCAAATAGTCCCCTAATTTTCTCTTCCAACAAGCCCCCAAAACAGCAAGTGGTGTTTATTACTCTTCAGCCATCCTTTTTCCCTTTTAGTTTCTCTCTACATTTCATAAAGTTTATCACCTAGACTAAAAAGTCCTAAGTTCCTTTTGATCTTTCTACATAGCCCCTTATAATTATTTTGCTCTTGATTTGTGTTAGGAATTTTCTAGATCAAATTATAAGTATGGAAATCTTCACTATAATTTATGTTGTTGTAATAAAATATGCCATATTTTTGTATGAGCCACTCATTCAAACAATTGACTTACTGCATCACAACCATGAAGCACTAATTGAAGTCTGGCTACTGCAAAAAGGAAAGTGCCATAATAACTGTTTCTTTGTTGTTCTATGCAGTGTTCATTGAAGGAAACTGGGGATTATGGTACAAACTTGATTGGGAGAAGAATAAAAGTTTGGTGGCCAATGGATAAGCAGTAAGTTCTTTTCCAACATTTCATTTTTGTCTTCTGGGTTTCATGTATTTGAATATGTTTAATTTGGGTATTCATTTTATTGATCTTTTGTCCTTAGTTGGAACTTGGAATGAAATTATTATCTTTGGCTACTTCACTTATTACATTTCTTTCTACATAGTATCTTTTCCTCTTTTGGCATGTATTTCTTTAAAATTTTCATCATGACCTTAATCACTGCCTCTTTGCCCCTTTGTTTGTCTCTTTAGGCCTTTCTGCCTGCACTAGAGCATTCTACATGGTGTCTTATAGATCTTTATTGCATATGGACAGACCATTCTAAACAATTGCCTTCATCTTATTGGAGTGACTGCTGTTTACCTATACTTTTTTTGTTAATGTCTTGCTGTTGTCATTCATCTCTACAAGATTACCTACACTCTTTTTATATGAACAACAAAACATTTTGTTGATGTGAAAAATGTATGGAAAATATATTAGCATTGTTGATCTCCATACAATGGTATTCACAATTTAGTTTTTAACTGGAACTGTACCAACTTTATGAAAAATGAAGCATAAGAATGCATTATATGATGTCCTCAACAGAAAAAGGCAGACGACCAATACCTCAAATCAAACAGAAAACAAAGACAGATAGTCACCAGATAACCAAAAGCCCAAAACTCAACTAGTCCAGGAGGAATGACTGACCCCCTGAAAAATTAAGGTCTATCCCTACCATCTCTAACAAGGCTATCAACCAACTCTTGGAATCCATTTAAATATATTGTTCAACATGGGTGTTACTAAAAATCACTTGTAATGTTTAGTGTGTAAAAAACAAAAAACGGAGAAAGAGGAAGAGTTCGTGACTTTCATCTCAATATTTATATTATCATAAAATAAAGAGAAAAAATATAACTACACTGGCAGTTATTAAAGATAAACGACTGAAATACCCTTTGCACCCTTTACACTAAACTTCTGCATTACTACACTCCCCCTCAAGTGAAGCATATATTTCAATCATGCTCAAGTTGCTCAAAATACTATCCACCTTAGCGTGAAAAGCTCCCTTGGGTAGAAAATCAGCCAGTTGGTTACGAATCTTTACATATGGCAGATTGGCAAGCACAACTCTTAAGAAGCTACTTTCTCTCTGATGAATTGTCAATCAACTTCTATGTGTTTTGTTTGATCAATACAAGTGGAAGAGAATAACTAGTGATCTGATACCAACTTGTAATATTAGGAGTATAAGAAACAATGAAGAATAAGGGAGAAATAAGGAGAATAGTTTGTGAATTTGAAGCGAAAAAACAGTAACTTGGGTTCTCACACCTAAGGGTGTTCATTAATCATTATATGGTCTAGACCATCAAACTGCACCATACCAAACCAGAATTGGTAGTTTGGTCTGATTTGGCCTTAAAATGGTTTGGTTTGGTTTTCTAAATCTTAGAAACCAGACCAAACCATAAACCATATTAAACCGAATTATTAATAATATATTTGTTAATGTATATAATATATATAACACATGTTTAAACATATGTATGCATGTGTATATTCATTTAACATTTCATACATTATTGTTGTTTGTTTCAATTTTTAACTTGTAATTTGATGCCCTAGGAGCTGTTTGTATTTGAGAAAGTGTAAATGTAATTTATATTATAGTATTAAGTGACACTTGTTAATATTTCAATACAATAGTACTAAGTATTCAGCTTTGGTCTCCTGACATGAGGATCGGAAGATGGAATCCGCTGGTTGGTGCTATTAAAGATGTTGGAGCAACAAGTTTGGTGTGGATTAACGTGTACGACATTCCTCTCCATGCTTGGTCTTTCCAAACTTTTGAAGCTGTGGATGAAGCCTATGGTAGATTCAGATTTGCTGATCCAAAAACAATCACATGGAGAAATCTAGTTTTCACATGTATCCTAGTCAAAGTGGATGATATCCATCTAGTGCCTTCTTTGCTTCCTCCGAGATTTGTAGGAGAGACTGATGATTTGAGACTTGTGGTTGAGGGCTCATATCCAAACAGATGGGTGGAGAATATTGATTTGTGGGGGAAGAGCAAAATCCTGCAGAATCGTGTCATTTCAGATTGGAAATCCAAAGTCTGTTCGATGTGGAGGTTTTAGAGGTTGAAGACGAGGGCAGTCTCGGAATTTTGGGTACTATTTCTCCTTAGGAGAATGGTGAACTGGGTCTCGATTTGTGTGGTGGCAGCTGGGATTCAAAGAGTCAAGGGGAGTCCCAACCTAGGGTTGTTTTGAATTTTGATATTGGTCTGCCGCCTTTGGATAACAAAGGGGACAATATGCAAAAAGGGTTGATAGGACACGTGGAGGGTTAAAAGATTAAAGATGTGGGCCCAGGGAGAAAGTTGGAGAAAAGCCTAATCAAGGGAATGGAAGAGCCATCTTGGGTCGTGAAACTGAATGGTGGCCCGGATGGGATGACACATGGGGTCTGATTTTAATAAGAGGAGACTGGAACAGGCTGTCCAAGTTAGCGGTTGATAAGAGACAAGGAGTTTGTGAATACTAATTGAAAAGTTGAGATAGTAACTTTGAAATATGATAAAGAAAGCAAAGGTCAGATCAACAAGGACAAAGGGGAGAGTTTTGCTGGTTCCAATGGCATTCATATCAATGGAGAGTCTGATCTGTCTATGGGGACACATCATCTGTGTTACAATGGGTCTACAGTGGTGTGCAGTGATCAAGCTGGTCAGGGCAGTGCTATCGGGCCAGCTAAAGAAAGTGGATTTCCTTCGATGGAGTCGCATTTGAGAGTTTTAGAGAAGTAGAAGGGGTGGAGTCACAGTTGGGGGGAGGTATGAGGGACAGCAAAAAGCAAATGGATTTTAGTTTAAAGATGAGAGAAAATGTTGGTGCTGATGAGGGTGGCACTGTTGGAGAAGAGAGGGACAAGATTATCTCTATGGTCGAGCCTTCACCTGTTTTTCCAGTTAGCTTTCAGGAGGTTGTGGTTGGTAAGCTAGGTGTCGATCTGGGTCACAAGAGGAAGTTTGAGGACAGAGGTGAAGCCAAGGAAGGTGGATTAGTTCCAACGAAGTCTTGGGTCTTGAGCAAGACGCATATTGTTCATGTTACAAGAGTTTTCTCTAGACTGAAGCTCGGCCTGGTCAGAGCTGGTCCACAAAAAAAATTTAAGAAAGTTTACAAGAGAATGGGTGTAAAGACAAAAGCGTCGAAGTTGGTTGATCCCAGTGGGGGAGCTCCATTTGGTCCTCCAACTTCAGTTTTGCAGATGGTTAGTGATCAACAGAATTAAAATTATTGGGGAAGGATTAAAAGCGAATTTGGGGAGAACAAGTATGACATCAGAAGAAAAGATGGAGATGGAAGGAGGATTAGATGTTGAGAAAATTGTTGATAAAAAATATTGAAATTGGAAAAGACTTTTTGGGTGGAGAGGCGTTTGTTATAAGAGCCATTGTGGAGTTTGAGAGGAGGAGAGATCAAAGAAAGCCATTGTGGGGGAAGGAGGAGAGGCCTGGAATGAACACCCCGACTCACACCCTTGCATCTTGAAATGCCTCCATTTATTCTCCCTATCCAACTGTCCCCTTCCACACGGAAACATGAAACATGTAGGATATTATTATCACAATTTCCACAACTTAAAAGCTACCCCAAAACTGAATTACAAATTTTTGTAAATCCAAGATCAAATCAGAGATAAAAGAGCCCATATTGACTGAAAAGCACCAACCATCTTGCATAAATCTAGGTAGCCTCTTGGTGGTCCAGAATAAGGGAAAGAAAAACCACCAAGTATCCAATGTCATTTTCTATTGTATGGATAGCTGGTATTCTTTTGATTGCAGCATATACCCTGCAGTTGCAGAGTGGTGGAGTCAATTCATCACTTGTTCCTTTACTGTCCTTCAACTTTTCCTATTTTCCACACTTTCTGATTTTCATTAATAAAATGCTTGGGTTACTTACTAAAGAAAAGAGGGAAGGTACTTTGGAGAGCTATGAAGGCAGCAATTTGTTGGGTGGTTCGGAAGAAAGGAATAATAGGATTTTCTTAGAAAAAATCAGAACACTAGAGGAAGTAATAGAGATGTGATTCAGTCCAATAAAAAATCTGTAAAATAATCTCAGATTATAGCAAGAGAGAGTTCAATGACTTCTCTCCTACCTCTCTTATCTTTTATTAATGCTACTAAAACTGAACAAATTACAAGTCTGCCCTTAAGTGGGCTGCCAGCTCATCAACATACTTAAAAGACATAAAAAAATATTAGCGTGCCCATTATCAAACAAAACAACTAGGGAACACTAATAACAAGACAATAGTGCACTAGGGCCCATTAGGCCCAATCGCTCTACACTCCCCCTCAAGTTGAGCATAGATATCAATCATGCCCAGCTGGCTTATATAATGTATCAACTTTCCTTTTGGAACACCTTTTGTCAAAGCATCAGCCAACTGTTCTTTAGAAGCAATAAATAGCAAGAAAACTTCTCCTGAAGCAACTCTCACCTATATAAAATGTCTATCAACCTTTATGTGCTTAGTCCCGTCATGCTGGACAGGATTATGTGCAATGTTGATGGCTGCCTGGTTGTCGCAATATAGCATCATTGGCTTCCTACAGTCAATACCCAACTCTCCCGAAAGTGATCTAAGCCATAATAAATCTGAAACTCCATGCGCCATTACCCTATACTCTACCTCAGCTGAGGATCAGGATCTGGCTACTACAAACTGCTTCTTATTTCTCCATGAAACAAATGTTCCCTGCCACCAAAGCATAATATCCTGAGGTGGATCTCCTATCATTTATACACCCAGCCCAGTCAACATCAGTGTATGCTTCCAACTTCATATGTCCATGCTTGGCAAACAGGATACCCTTCCTTGGAGTACCTTTCAAGTAAAACAGAACCCTTTCTACAATTTCTAAGTGTGTCTTTGTGAGAATGCATAAACTGACTAATAACAGTCACTACATAGGAAATATCTAG